CAAGTGGTAGAGCGCTCGCCTTGAGCTGAAGAGCTGAGGGACAGCGCCCAGGCCCAGAGTTCAAGCCCCACAACCGACAAAAAAAAAAGAAAATTATCCAAGTTTATTTTCTAAATAAAGATACAACCTTTGTCACAGAAAATGTTTCCTTGTGGTCTTATGGTCAAGAAATTAGTTTCCAATTATAAGAAAATAATGACAGCCATGCACTTTGTAAACGGAAAACAACATCAATTATAATTTAGAGTTACAAGACAATTCTCTACAGCACAGATACATATAAAACATTATTGTATAAATGTAATATTAGTGTATACTAATCATTGCAAGTGTGAATAAATAAATGTAATTCTTTTCCAAGGCATTACAAAGAAAGTAATTTCCAAAGGAAGGAAAGACAGAACTAGCAAATATTCATAGACTTATTCACTTTATTTCAAAATTCTAGAGTATCTTTCTTTCTTGTATTCCTATGTGAGCTAAATCTAAATTTGCACATTTTTGAAAGGATCATTTGAAATATCAAGCAAACTTTTAAACACATGTATAACCCAGCAGTTCTATTTCCAGGGATTCTACAAGATTAGATACAAATATATATATTAGAAAGGTCACTGGATATTGTTCACAATAAATGAAAAACCTGGATATGTCCCTATTATGAAATAGTATATACCTCCTTAAAAGTAGGTAGACCTACACAATGTTTTGCCAACTGTGATATGAAACAATTGAGAAAAGAGTTGCCTAACTATTTTAATACACATGTTTGCACATGCATAGAAAGTGTTTAGAAAGATCTTTTAAAAAGTCAAAATGGTTACCTCTTTAGAGGCGAATGGAGAGAGGTTTGAGAATTTTGTTAAAACAATGACCATCTGTCACTTTAAAATAAACCATCCTTAAAATTTGTATCTATCAGTAGTCCAAAATAAGCAAGTCTTTGTTGAATTTATGTCCAGAATTCTACCCTATTACCTAAAGCTTTCAATCAATAGAATCTAATCAAAGTAAGCTGGGGCTTGAACTGTGTAGGCCCTGTCGCTGAGCCTCTTTGGGCTCAAGGCTAGCAATCTACCACTTGAGCCACAGTACTACTTCTGGCTTTTTTCTGAATAGTTTATTGGAGATAAGAGTCTCACAAACTTCCCTTCCTGGGCAGACTTTGAACCACAATTTTCAGATCTCAACTTCGTGAGTAGCTAGAATCTAAACTATATTTTAACTCTAAGATAATAAAGCATTTTTAAAAAATCACAGCTCTGTACATTGTTATCTCCTTTCTCTTACATCTCTACTCCCCAAAGACTGAATTCTCCCAAAAAAACTTGGTAAACAAAAATGTAAATATATTTAAGCATGCTCACATGTTCAACAACACCAGCCTGTCCATTACTAAATTCTCGATATTGCCCAAGCATCTGGTCCACTTGTCGAAGGTTCCGACTAGTATCCTTTAGAAAGAAAATACTGTTATTGTTCTGACCAATACCAATCAGCACTATATCAAAGAGCTAAGCCAACAGTTTGTTAAAGGTATAATTTATATTATAATTAGGTATCAGTGAACTTAAAAAAAAATCATTGTGAGAAAAAATCAAATCCAGCAGGGTGCCAGTGGCTCACACCTGTAATCCTAGCTACTTGGGAGGCTGAGATCTGAGGATCGTGGTTTGTGCCCAGCCCAAGCAGACTCTAATAACACTCAAAACCTAGAAGCTGAGGTGTGGCCCAAAGTGGTAGAGCACTAGCCTTGAGCAAAGAGAGTTGGGGGGGGGGGGGCGGCTGGGAAGGTGGCTCAGTGGTAGAGCGCTTGCTTTGCATGCATAAGGCCCTGGGTTTGATTCCTCAGCACCACATAAGCAAAAAGAAAAAAGCCAGAAGTGGGGCTATGGCTCAAGTGGTAGAGTGCTAGCCTTGAGCTGAAGAGCTGAGGAACAGCACCCAGGCCCAGAGTTCAGGCCTCACGACCGGAACCACCCCTCAAATAAATAAATAGATACTTTAAAAAAAAAAAAAAGAGAGAGTTCAGGGACAGTGCCCAGACCCTGAATTCAAGCCACAACTGGGAAAAAACAAAAACCACTCAAATCCATCTTTTATTTGTATAAAATACAAAATACATAATATAAATTTTTAATCCAAGGTTCTGAGGTATAACATACTCATGTGTAGAAAAAAATCTAGAAAGTCCAAGGCCTGAGTTCAAACTCCAATACTGCCAAAAAATAAAAAGGAGGAGGAAAAAAAAAGAAGAGGAAAAGAAGAAAGGAAAAAGAGAGGAAGAAGAATCAAAAGAAGAGGAAGAAGTGACAATAAGGAGGAGGAAGTGGTAGACAGACAAAAAGAAAAGGAGAAGAGGAGGTGACATCAAATGAAGAAAAAGACAGGCAAAATAAGGAAATGTAAGAGCCTAACCCCCCTATCTGGCTTTGAAGACAATGTAGGGAGTCACAAGATAAGAAATATTGGGCCACCTCTAGAAGCTAGAAAAGAAAGGGAGCAGATTTTCTCAGAAGTCTGATCTATAGAACGATAAGATGTTTGCTGTTTGAGACAGCTTTATGGTAATTTGTGAAGTAGTACTAAGAAAGCTAATACATGGCTGAAACTATTATTCAGCTCAACCTGCTTAAAATCTACTAATGGCACCCACTATAAAACAAACCTGTAAAGTACTTGTTATAGTATTGACCTTCTCAGTGACATCTACTGTAGCATGACTTTTGGTTTCCGTTGGAATTGATCTGGCAGCCCATCGACTCACACGGTCACGATAGCGGAAGCGATCTGAATCACTGGTTGATTCTGCCATTGATACATGCAAATCCTTAAAAACAGATCAAAGTCAGGTCAATCAGTTAATTATTCTTTTTCATTTTAAGTCTTATTAAAGTCTTTTAGAATATCATAATTTCTACCACAAGAAAACAAGAGTCACTTCCTACTATACTTCTCCTTTGTTTTGTTTTCTCTGACTTGAGAACAATTCTTCAGATATGATTTTAGTTATGGTTACAATTCCAAATACTAATTCCTTACATTTCTGCAGAGCTTCAAATTTTTAAGGTATTTTAAAATATAGTGTCTCACTTAATTCTACAAATAAATCTATAAGATAAATTTAAAATAGATATATTTTGTAAATAGATATAAATTAGATAATCTCTAAAGTCCCACAATTGTCTTAATATTAGTCTGATGTTTATTAAACTATAAAAATACATGTCTTTTGGTTTTTGGTTCTGTGTGTGTGTGTGTGTGTGTGTGTGTGTGTGTGTGTGTGTACGCACACACATGCACACAGCTGGGAGCCACACTTCCACTTCTGACTTTCTGCTGACTAATGACAGATAAGAGCCTCATACACTTTTCTGCACAGGCTGGCTTAAATCCACCATCATAAAGTCTCAGCCTCCTGAATAGCTAGGATTACAGGCAAGAGACATCAGTGCCTGGCTAAAAATGGGTGTAAAATACGTCACATCAACAGCACATCCTACAATAAAAAGAATCCTATTCACTGTACACTGAAAACTCTTGCTCCTTTGAGTATAGCAGAATTAAATGATGCAAAAGAAGTCTAAGTATCACAATAACAAATTTGATATTGAATCCCACAAAAGAAAAGAGCCAAAGTAATTTCAGCAATGGAAAAATCCTCTAAGCAAGATTTTCTTCTATCTTTACCTCAAATATCTGTTTAAAAGATACAAAAAATATTTCATACAAGAAAACCTCAAGTTTCAGAAATCCTGTAATATAAGTCTGGAGAAACCAAATTGATCAAAAGTAAAAGTTCATCAAGTATTACCATAATACCATTTACTGTGAAAATTAATTCACATTGCTACAATCTTCCTGAAAATCTGACTATACTCCTCCTCTTTCCCCCCCCCACTGGATTATTTTGTGAAGTTTGATGACAGTTTTCTATGATAGAATATTCTTAGTCTTTAAGATTTTTATTCTCATTGCCTCTTAGAAGTACATGACCATGTGTCAAAAGAGAAGATAAAAGGAATGTGCCAAATGTGTGCAGATCCTAAAATGACTGCAATCATGTTTTTAATATATTGGATGAAACAAACAATTAAAGACCCTTGCTGTGAAGTTAGATTTTTCAAAATGAAATAGTCTATCATTGCCACATCAAAATAGAAAGAAATCAGTGGGAACATCCAGCTTCTCCAACTAGCTGAGACAGGGAAAGAGAACATCCTGTTCCACACCCCTGCTTCTCCACTGTCTTGTGTACCTGTCTGCTCTGTTCTTGTCTCCATCTCCATCTGTATGCAAGGAGAGGTATAGTGCCCATGATGGAGCTCACCCACACCAGAAAACATGACCAAAAACTACAGCAGAAGTAACTGGCTTTGCTTTCCCAGCCTCATGGTTGTCTAAATCCTAAAGAAAAGTAACCCAAAAAGAGATCATAAATGTAATTTGTCTTTCAAAGTTAAGAAGGCATCTGGCTGGGCAATGGGGGCTCACACCTGGAATCCTTAGCTACTCAGGAGTTTGAGATCTGAAGATCCTGGTTCAAAGCCAGCCCAAGCAGGAAAGTCCATGAGTTTCTTATCTGCAAGTAACCATCAAAAAGCCAGAAGTGGAGCTATGACTCAAATAACAGAGCACCAATGTTGAGCAAAAAGCTAAGAGACAGAGCCCAGGCCCTGAGTTCAAGCTTCAGTAAGACACAAGGAAAAAAAAACAAGTGACTACTGTATCTCATGAATCTCTGCCACATGACCTTTTACTCTTACTCTATGTTCAAGTGCTTTCCATCATTACCTACTAGTAAAAGCAGGAAGAACCAGCATTTTCTAAGTACTTTCTTTATTCAAGTATTACTTGGGATACTGGTATAAACAATCCAATTTAATTCTTATAGCAATTCTATGAAGAGAATACTGGGATTTATGTCCCAGTAGAGTACTTTCTTAGCATTGGCAAGGCCCTATATTCAATGCCTAGCACTGCAAAAATAAATGAAGGGAATACTATTCACTCCTCATTTATGGAAGATGCTGTAGCTAAGCAGTATTAAATAACATATTCAGCTCCACACAGGGATAAAAATAGCAGACTTGGCATTAAGCCAGCCTTTTCTTGTATTTTTGTGGGGGGGGGGAGGATTGTGGGGCCTGAACTCTGAGCCTGGGCACTGTCCCTCTGCTCTTCAGCTCAAGGCTCGTACTCTACTAAGCCAGCCTTCTTTATCTTCAATACTATTTCCGTTCACTGTATTCTTGGTGTCTGTTACCCACTGGGTAAATCTGAACTAAGAGCCAGGGGAAAAAAACTCAAATTATAATTCTATAAATTAATAAAAAAGAAATCTTTAGGCAGAATGAAACAGTAATATTGAGAAATACAATGTGTTTACTATAATGGTTGTTAGTGAGAATAAGGAACAAAATAACTACCTTTCAGGCAACTAAATGTTTCTAAAAGTACCAGAATACATTTCAATTGATACAAATAGTGTATCATACTCTTCTTATTTTTTGGGGGGGAGGGGGAGAGTCCGGTCGTGGGCCTGGGCGCTGTCCCTCAGTCTTCAGCTCAAGGCTAGCGCTCTACCACTTGAGCCACAGTGCCACTTCCAGCTTTTTTTTCTGCTTCTGCTTATGTGGTGCTGAGGAATCAAACCAAGGGCCTCATGCATGTAAGGCGTTCTACCACTGAACCACCTTCCCAGCCTCATACTCTTCTTATAAGTAGGTAAGATGAGTTTCACCTTGAATAACAACTGTTAAACATTCAATTGCTATGGTTCTTTTTAACAATTTGAAAACTGGACTGAAACACATTATTAGTACAGATATAACAATGAAGGACTGGAAGTAAGTGGTACAGCACCAGATAAACAAGCAACATGCAGCCTTGAGTTCAAAATCTCAGTATCAACAACAATAAAAACTTTAGCCAGGCAGCAGTGGTTCATGCCTATAAAACTAGCTACTCAGGAATCTGAGGTCCAAAGGATTGATGTCTAAAGCCAGACCAGGCAGAAAAGTTCATGAGCCTCCATCACCAAAGTAACCAGCAAAAACAAGGCTGCAGGCATAGCTCTAGTGGAAGAGAGCCAGCAGATTGAACACAAGAACCTAAGTTCAAACCCCAGTATGGAAAAAAAAAACCAACAACATAAGAGTTACCATCTGACATAGGTTTCTATTTTTTAGAGTTTAACACTAAAACAGAAAATCTTAATATTATATAGAATTAAAAAATGGTATTAACTAAATTATCTCCAATTGTCATCTAATCACAAGGGGAAAAAATTTCCTCTCACTTACCCCAAGTAGAATTACATACTTTTATGAGAAAGAATCACACTTTCCAGCATGAATTTCCCTGGTATAAGCATGCAAAGTCTTCTGCTATTAATTTCAGTTACTTTGAGCAATAGAAGATGTTCAAACTGCATCTGATGGAACTCCTGCAGAGACACCAAGATTTAAGGTATGATATATCTGAGAAATTTACATATACTTTTATTTATATAAGACATGAGTTTAATTACATAACTTTATTTAAAATAATACATAAATATTGAACTTAGGACAATTAATGAATATAATTATAATAAAAAATAGGAATAGATTGTTTATATTGGTGATTTTAAAAAAAAAAACCTTGGCACTTTCTTCAACTGCTGTAATGATTAAAACATAAGTCCCATCGCTAACTTGATTGGACTTAACTCTAAGTGCCACAACACAGAAAGCATCTATGATGGCATTGACACACCCTCATCAGTGTATATCAGCCAACAACATCTTTCCTCAAATACGGAGTTGATGGAAAGGGGCGAGAAGGAACAGAATGGCCACTGAAGTTGGCAGAGGCTCACATTACTTAATCAAACCCTAGGGCCAGACATGAGCCATGAAAATATTTCCCGAGTGCCCTGTAATATGACTAATTAAAAGAAAAGCCAGGCCGGGCGCTGGTGGCTCACGCCTGTAATCCTAGCTACTCAGGAGGCTGAGATCTGAGGTCAAGGTTCAAAGCCAGCCCGGGCAGGAGAGACCGTGAGACTCCTATCTCCAATAAACCACCAGAAAACCGGAAGTGGTGCTGTAGCTCAAGTGGTAGAGTGCTCACCTTGAGCTGAAGAGCTGAGGGACAGCGCCCAGGCCCAGAGTTCAAGCCCCACGACCGGCCAAAAAAAAAGAAAA